AAGTAAGTAAGTAAGTAAGTAAGTAAGTAAGTAAGTAAGTAAGTAAGTGAGTGAGTGAGTGAATGAATAAATGAATGAATGAATAACTGAACGGAGTAAATGAAAGAACTAGACCCTATTATTCTTCTTGATGTTGTAAAAATTAACGTGAAGGAAAAAGTAAGTACTTCAGAATGTTGCTTCCTCACCTAAGATGATGCTCTGTCAGATGTAATCAGGTGCTGACTTTATCTTCACAGTCCTGCAGTTTTGTGCCCTATATCTGTTACCTTGTTTTTTGGTTATATTTGTAAGTCACGCGAATTTGTCAGAAGTAATTACAATTATGCCAATGCTGAAGCAACTAGCAGCATACAAAGTATCAAAATTATGCAAAACTTATATTCCTATTTTCTTAATATATAAGAACTCGATCTTCTACGCCGGTGGGCAAGTTGCTTTCTTTCGCACTAAAATTCAACGAAGACAGAAAGTGGAATGGGGAAAATCGATTTTGAGTTGTGCTTCCTACTGCATATCTTCCTGACGCTTACTGCATAAGGTGAAATTCTAAAGAGGACTGCTAGAAGTGCGCTGATGAAGACGCAACTCTTACAAATAAATGGTAAGAAGTGAACCTAGAATTTTACTGCAATGCTGAAGCGACCAACGAATTTTAAGACTTCAAACAGTTCGTCGTAGCATTAACGATCTAAACCAGTATTCGAGTGGTACCCCTTTCGAATACCAGCCATGTTACCGTCTATTCTGATTCTGAAGTGTCGTAGTTATTCTCAGTCTGCCTCAAGAGTAATCTGAAACCGTGCATTTAAATAGGCTAAAGCCAGCTGATGCCAAATATTCTGTTCGAGAGGCAGCAAGTCCGGCCCTCTGTCAAGGAGCTGACCATTCAGACTGAGAACATCCTCAATCCACAAAGGATGCTGGAAAAATGTCTTAAATATACTATGACCGCCTCTTTCCACATCTTTCCCAACTCATCACTCATTACTGCCTGATACACGACACCATATAAAATATATAGATGAGATAGCGTCGTTAAATTAGAAAAAGAGGGAAAAGTCACCGATTCTCATTTGATTCCATAGCATCTGCAAAACCTTGACGGTTAACATAGAGCTCAATCACGCATTCAATCAATCAATCAATCAATCAATATACAGGTGAAGAAGAATGCTATTATTATTTTAATCGATTTTATTTAAGAAATTCTACTGAAATATTTGCCGACAGGGCTAGGGGAAAATAACAAAAATAATTAATTTAATTCGGGATTCGAACAAGGTACCTTCCGACATCCCTGAGCTGACTACTTTGGCTCATTTGTATGACGTAACAAGGCCGCGCCATAGCTCAAGCGGTTAGTCGCTGGTTTCCCAGCGCGGAGGCCCGGATTCGAGCCAGGGTCTGGTCAAGTGGGATTTATGGTGGACAAAGTGGCACTGGGGCAGATTTTCTCCGAATACTTCGATTTCCCTTGCAAATCTTCATTCCACCAAATTCTCCATCATCATAATCACCCAAAGCAGGTACAATAGTCCAATCAGTGGCCGACGTGCCGAGTGGACCCAGCGTGACTCCACCCCCACTATGCGATTTAAAGAAAAAAACTTTCGCTATACTTCAAGACCTAATTTGTTACGTCTCAAATGCAAGGAAACAACAAACATTAAAATTTTGGGTTTAGACACACATCTATCTTTCAAACTAAAAGGGACTGAGGCAAGTTAAATTGCCATTTAACTTTATTATGAAGGTTAACAGCCGATCACAGTGGCCGCGCCGTCTAAGGCATGAACTGTGTTCGCTCGCTCGAACGTTGAGATGACGGGTTGTAATCCCACTCAAGGTATGGATGTCTGTACTGCTCTGTGTATAGGTAGAGGCCTTGTGAGGGTCTGTGTATAGGATCAAGTAACTGAAAACGAGGCCAAGGCCCAACAAAGGGCTGTAGAGCAATAATAATAATAATAGCATAACAAGGGCATCTACTTGCGTTATGATGGTATAAAAATTAATTACGGAAATGTGTGTCCAGCCTAAATTAAAAATAATGGGTATCTTACAATAAACTAATTCGAAATCTTCAAAGTAAGGAAAGTGTATCTATCAGTCGAATGGATACTGGATGGAAATTAGGACCCAAAAGATTCTCATGAACGTTGAGTTAGCGAAGAGAATCTTACAAAAATTGATACAATATGGCTCTAAAATCGTCCTCTTCCGTAAGAATGTTCGAGCAGACATATTCTTTTCCAAAGCTTTTCAGATTCTAAATTCCATCCCTTCCCTGATCAACCTATATCACACCTTCCTACGGTATTATAAGTATTCCTGCTAGCATTCATACTCAGAGGCATTTGTTCTACTTGCTCTAGACATTTCCTTCAGTAATATTCAGTGTCTTCTACAGAAAAATTCCGGTTCTAATTTTTTGCAAATTTCTTCAATTCTTATTTAAAATCTCCCATGTAACTTCTAAGAAAGATCACTTAATGTTTTCAGTATCTCCTGCTCTTATTTTAGCATAATGTTTCATTGCCACACACACACACACCGGCTCGCTTAAGGCAAGATCCAGCTGGAGCTTTTGACCGCCACGGTAGGCAGACAGTGGCGAACTGATGCAGCGGACCACCACTGTAGGTAGTCTAGTCGGTCTCGTCCGCGTGGTTGAATGAGTATTATAAGCACAGAATTACACTACACTGTACAATGCATTAGGCCGAAATAAAATAACAACAAACAAATGAAATGTTCTGCACTTACCATCTCCTCAAACTCTTGCTGCTACAACTTGTCAAATATTGTCTTCCATTTGAACGTTCTTAAACTCTTTACTTTCACGATCGCATAATGCATGATAATTGAAAATAGTTTACATGAATTTATAGTCTTGTACTTCTATAAACCGGCGAAACTTTTCGATGTTGCACAGCGTTACGAGCCTGTAATAGACAACACACCTTGGAGGTCACGGTCAGACCGGTCAGAGTCGAACAGCGCTCTCTAGCACTTGTCAGTCAAACGCCTCTGCCGGGCTCCTCAAATGAAAGCAAAGGCACTGAAGCTGAGAACGGCCGAGAAGGTACCGACCACTCTTCGATTAGGTCGAACGCGAAGATCGACTGCTCCAACGAAAACGCATATTTGGGTAGTACACACAGTTCGTTACATCTTTGGTCTCATGTTTTTCCCTCAGAATGTCTTTTGATAGGACGATTAAAATATTTCATATCTGAGTTTCTCACAGTAGAAACTATGAAGAGTTACTTACTTGCTGTTTGATTCCTTGCTTTATTCCTTGACGCTGGAAATGGAGGCGCCACATTCATCTGAAATGTCGGTAAACTTTTATCAGACTTCATGATGTACGTAAGATTTGAGGTTTTCACGGCGGTGACTATGAATAAAACAGTCTTCTGGGATGTGGCACCGTGTATATGTGGTGTTAACCGACGTTTCGGAGGAACGTATCGTCTCCATCTCCAGGGTCTCTTCGCTTGCGGATTTTCTTATTTTTCCTTCTACCTTGAAGATGGAGATGATACGTTCCTCCGAAACGTCGGTTAACACAACATCTACACGGTGCCACATTCCAGAAGACTGCTTTCTTCATGATGTATGATCAAAGAAGATAATATTCTTTGCCATGTAAACTCTTTTCTTCGCTATCAATGCTCCTTTCTCATGTTGCTATTTGCAAACCAGGCACTTAACGAATTTACCTGTAATACGATTTTTGTACTTCAAATTTTCAGTCTTTGTATGTACCTCTACTCCACTTTCATGGCTTCGCCTTATCAGTTCACATTTTAATATCATATAATCGTAATATTCAATTCGCCATTCCGATATTGTGTTCTAAGCTAATGTTCTTTTTTTCAAAAGCATCGAGTCATGTTCAAATAAAATTGAGCTAACATAACTTTTGTTTCCCCGGAATGTTTCCTTGACTTTCTACATCTGATGTACTTCTATCGCTATGTTCCAGAACTGTATGCATTGCAGTCAGATGATTCTCGTCGGGCGTCTCTCGTTGAAGTAATATAATTGATTTCTTTTTGTTACTTCACGCCTTTACACTTACTTGAGACATACTATATTCCGTGATTAATGCGCCGTACCAATTTCTTCATTTCAGCTTTGTAAAGCATAATGTTTACGTCCTTCCATTAAAATTAAAAACTCTGCATTTATCCACAGGTTATATTTATGGATTTTGTAGATTCTCACAATAAATATCGCGTGGGATATCGTTATATGTAGAGATAAGTACTTATTAAAGTGATATATAGATATATATATATTGTAGTTACGCAGAATACACAGTCGAACTTGAAGAATTGAAGGTCGCTGACTGAAAACTAATATTGTAACAACAATACTACTGCTTTCAACGCACACACTTCAGTGTCAAAGTCAAAGACAGTAAGTCTTGGTGTCTAGCCCTCTAGCCCCATCTGGGGATCATGATCAGATATTTATTTCTGTTTGGCAGTTACGGTTTTGTTTTTGTGGGACGCCCTCTCTGGCGAGAAGACGCGTCTGTCTTTTACATATGCTGCTGGCCTTGCCAGCGCAGTCTGTCTCGGGTTCGAGTCCCTTGCTACACGCGACCATTATTTACTGTCTCAGATTTGAGACTTCCTTTTCGTCACCTCCTACGGCTCGCAGGGTCACGGTGGAGGGATTCGACCCCGCCTCTACACGGGTTGCACACATTTCAAGTCAAAGTCAAAGTCACATTGCGACTGCCTGTCAGCCAGTTAATCTTGGTGTCGAGTCCAATCTGGAGTTCACTACCAGATACTTATTACTGTTTGACAGTTTAGGTCTTCTTATTGCGGGGCGACCTCTCTGACGAGAGGACGGGTCTGTCTTTTGTCAGAGTCATTGTCTGTAGTAGTAAGTAATTTCTCATCATGTAAAGGTTTACACATACTAAAGCATATTGTGATATGACACTCGAAAGCCGGAATAGCGATGTCAGAATAGACATTCATTGCTAGGAAACGACCCGGTAAATATATTCCCGCGGCAAAGAATACACAAGCAATAATCTAGTAACTTTCATTGTTATACAGCTGCGCTGTAAACTCACCTACCCAATAATAGAGAAGCTGTGTTTTCTGCATGGTCCATGCAAAGTGGTTATAAAGAAAGTGCTCAGTGGAGTTGTCGAGAGAGTCGCGTTCCAAGACGCCAGCCTGCCATGACATGTGCTTGGGATTTGAATTGAATCTTCTGAATTGGCAGTTGTAGAATAATGGCAAGACAGGAATTAGGCTGTGAAAAGATGACTTCATATGTGATTTGAATTGATAGTGAGACTGTTATAAATCCGTTGCAAGGATAAGACTAGTAAAGACTGAGAACCCTAATGTGTATGTAAGGCTGAACTGTAAAGGGTGTAGATCAGCGATACCGCTGTACTGCCGGTAGTTCCGAGTGGTGTGAATAAGGTGTCAATGAATCCAATCATCCAATCCAGAACCTGTCTATAAGTCACGGAACAACCGACTCTACACGTGACAATATAAAGGAAAGTATGCTCATAAAGTCTTCCGTGAACTTCTTGTTTCTGTTTCTCAGAGAGAGTAAAACGAGTAAAATATGCCGAACTCATTTCAGTATAACTCTGTGAGATAGTTATTTTTATATTTAGAACTCACAGCGAACAATACAACCCCTTTGTTCTACCGTCTTTCTCAATTCAGAACTTCTTCCTTAAGAAATATTGCTCATGAAAGAGGAACAGTTACAGAAAGTTGGAATTCATTGCCACCCTAAAATATCTGAGATATGTAATATGTGCTGAATTGTTAAGCACTTATTTCGCCCATACTTTGTTCGCAGATCTAGCACTTGTTGTTGAGAACATTTGCATTTGCTAACTGCTGATCACTTTAAGTTCGCGTCACTCAACATTGAGCCGAATAACACATAGGTGTTAATTTAAACTGCAATTACATTTCCATCACACTGACGCATGATGGAATTTCTCCAGTTCAGTTGCAACAAAATCTCTATTGGTCTTCAGGCGTTAGTGTGATCCCAGTATGAGTTCTGATGAAATGAAATGATACTTGCGACCAGCCCCTGAAGTGTGTTCGCATGGGATATGTTGGCGACAATGTAAGGTGAACATCTGCTTAAGCCATGTTGGCCTTCAGGATCTCACAGAGGTGCCCACGAAGAGTTTTATCTTCTGGAACATAGTGCCGTGTAGTTCGATGAAAATCAACCTATGTTGCGGAGGAATACATCGCCTTCATCTTCAGGCTGGAAGAGCAAGCCAAACAAGAAGGCAGCATGAAGCAAAGCGCGATGTAAAACAGGCTTCCTGCCTGCTTCATGCTGGTTTCTTGCTTGGATTACCCTTCTACACGCAGCTCACTTACAGGAGTGATTTTGTAAGGTACTTTCTCTAATAACTAACTGTGGGGACCAGAGCCCTCTACGAGACGCTACTAGCCGCTTCCGCCTGTTTTGATTGATTGATCAGTAACTGTCAGATGACAGGTCCACAGTCTCTTCCAGAACAGTTCCTCCACTTAATGTGATCTTCTGTTTTTGGAAAGAGACTATCCAGGAAAAGTGATAATGTGGTAGTTTTTCCATTTGCTTTCCACATCGCAGTACAGCAGCCGTTCAAACCACTCTGGTCACGCCTGTTGCTATACGAACTTGAACCATCTCGAGCATCATTTGTTCTGTGCTTCAAGTCGCTGCTGATGACGCTGCTTCCGGCATCAGTTTTTGGTTTTTGGTGTCTCTCTTCGTCTGATGCCTACCCTTTGACCTGTCCAGCAAGGGAGGCCCTGCCAGTAGCTACGCTACCGCTGGTATAGCTCTCAGGGTCCTTGGCATACTCAAACCCCCTCACCACGATAAGGTGAAGACACCAACGAGGGGGCGCCTGTTTTATAGCATCTGAAAGTTTATTGCCATCTTCATAAGAAAGTAACTTCAGCCAGTTCAGTCCCATCCATATCCCCCATCCTATTTCCTCGACAGCCAACTTAGTTCCGTGCTCCCACTTACACTGACTTCTCCCAGCTGGTCCCTTGCTTTCGGGTTATATAATTTTATTTTAATTCGCTTAGTGGGGGTCGGAGTCCTACTGGTTTCACTCGGCACGGGGGCCACTGATTGGCCTATTGTAGCCTGCCACACGTGATTATGATGACGGAGAATTTGGTGGAATGAAGATTGACATGGGAAACCGAAGTACTCGGAGAAAACCTACCCCATCGCCACATTGTCCACCACAAATCCCACTTGACCAGACCCCGGGATCGAAAACGGGCCGCCGCGGTGGGAAGCCAGCGACTCACCGCTTGAGCTATGGCGCGGCCTTCTGGTTATCTAACAAAAGCATTTAAGTCATTCATATTCTTAGACATCTTCGACCAGACCGGCTCTGGGGCCCACCCAGCCGTTTATTCAGTGGGTACCGGGAGTAAAGGCGCTGGGGCGTGAAGCTGACCACTCACCTCCAACTTGTGCCGAGGTCAAGAGAATGTGCATCTATATATTTACTGCCCCATATTCTTTCATGGTTCAATGCTCAATTAGTTAGGCACAAAGACAACTTTAACTTCTATAGTCTTTGACATGCGTGCTGCATGCCCTGAATAATCTTCCTCCTGATTTTATGAGTCGGACGTAGTCTCATGCTACTTGCTCTGTCTTAGGTTCAAATATTTCCCTTCACTCCCTGCCTCCTTGGGGTGCGATACGTTTTACACCAATGTAAAACAATACAGTTTTAAATTTTACGTTAACTATGCAGACTGTATGCATATGCTGTTTTACACACTTACTTGTGGGACATGATATCAAGGATTTTATGCGCCCTCGTAATTTACATTTATTGCATCCTATTCAACTGGTTTAAATAATTCATTAATTTAAAACTTCGCTTTGCATGCGTTATTCACAGTTTTCAACATGTTATGCAAAACGAAACAAAATAAACGTAACATATTTAATGAAAACAGCCGTAGTTTTGGAAGTACATTTCTCCAACACCAAGTATAATGCATATGCAGGACAGCACTTCTTAATTTAGACAGCAGACCTGTCGGATATCCATCAACCAATCATAAGAGTTCTTTTGTGACAGTGGGCACATCATGTCAAGGGGGATTTATTATTTATGTAAGAAAGGTCTCTTCTGCAAGCCCTATCCCTTACACGCCCGTGAGTTGGAAAGTTGCGTAAGCTTCTACGTATTAATCTTGTCGCTTCTGTATCCTGAAGTCCTGAAGTCAGAGGACTCTGCCAGGGCTAGAGCATTTGACTTACACTCGAAAGCATGTGTTTCGAA